AATTTTCTCGAGGACATCGCGTCTGACGGAGCCGATTTGTGAAAAACCTTCTCTTTGTGGCACGCGGTGACCTAGCATTGTTATGGCTTTATTGAACAGGACCATGGAAATGTCCCTTCTGCTGACCATCGCCGAAGAGTAAGTGCGTCGGATAAACTTTTGACCCTCAAGAGGAGGGCTGTAAACTTGGATTCTGCTTGACTGGCTGTTAGCAGAATTTGACTGCCGGGTTTGCTAGTAGAATCGACCTGCTACATGCCCTGACGACTGTCATGAGCCGTACAATTGTCACAGTGAAATTCAAAAGCTACAATTTGGTTACAAAGGTGTAGTTCCTAAATCGTATAATTCTCTCAGTGGCATTCTGTACTGTCAGCTAATGCTTACATGTAACGTATGCCACTGCGCATGACGGCTGCTGGCGGCAGTTCTTTGGCGCCTCGCGTTAACATTTGTTGCAGGGTGGCAGCTCTCTTATTGCAAGTTTGCAGCCTGTAGGCTTGCGTAGGCTAAATGGATGCCATCGCAAGCGTTACCTATTCGCTCATTGCAACAATCACGTTCTGTTGCTACTACGCAATGATGGAGCTTCCATCTTAAGCTGAAGACACTTAAACGTCGCCCCCATCTCGTGGCAACTTCATCAACGATCCCAACGAACATTCTTCTTGAGAAGCTTCTATACCATCCCTGTGCATTTCACGTGTTTCGCGTGTATGTGAAACACATTGGGACTAACACGCTTACCGTAGAATCCCTCCACATCCCCACAGATCACCGCAGTAGACGTTAGAATGAGCGGCTGGCGCTATGCGCGCACTGTGTTGTNGGATGTACATGTAGGATGTACATGTAGGATGTACATGTAGAATGTACATGTAGGATGTACATGTAGGAAGTACATGTAGGATGTACATGTAGAATGTACTTGTAGGATGTACATGTAGGATGTACATTTAGGATGTACATGTAGGATGTACATGTAGAATGTACGTGTAGGATGAACATGTAGAATGTACATGTAGGATGTACATGTAGAATGTACATGTAGAATAAACGTGTAGAATGTACATGTAGAATGTACATGTAGGATGTACATGTAGAATGTACAGGTAGGATGTGCATGTAGGATGTACGTGTAGGATGTACATGTAGGATGTACATGTAGAATGTACATGTAGAATGTACATGTAGTATGACATAATGTACATGTAGGATGACATGATGTACATGTAGGATGTACATGTAGGATGTACATGTAGAATGTACATGTAGAATGTACATGTAGGATGTACATGTAGGATGTACATGTAGGATGTACATGTAGAATGTACATGTAGGATGTACATGTAGGATGTACGTGTAGGATGTACATGTAGAATGTACATGTAGGATGTACATGTAGGATGTACATGTAGGATGTACATGTAGGATGTACATGTAGAATGTACATATAGGATATACATGTAGGATGTACATGTAGAATGTACATGTAGGATGTACATGTAGGATATACAGGTAGGATGTACATGTAGGATGTACATGTAAGATGTACATGTGGAATGTACATGTAGGATGTACATGTAGGATGTACATGTAAGGATGTACATGTAGGATGTACATGTAGGATGAACATGTAGGATGTACATGTAGGATGTACATGTAGGATGTACATGTAGCATGTACATGTAGGATGTACATGTAGGATGTACATGTGGAATGTACATGTAGGATGTACATGTAGGATGTACATGTAGGATGTACGTGTAGGATGTACGTGTAGGATGTACGTGTAGGATGTACGTGTAGGATGTACATGTAGGATGTACATGTAGGATGTACATGTAGGATGTACATGTAGGATGTACATGTAGGATGTACATGTAGGATGTACATGTNACCCAAACTTTTCAGCCTGGGTTGGGTGAAGGCAAACAAAGATTTTTTTTAATCGTGCCCCATCAGTGCGACCGTCACTGCTGTACGCTCGCCGCGCCCACTTACCTGCGCCCACTTGTTAACGACTTACCTGGTTGTTAACAACGATGTGCACGCTGCCGTGTGTGGAGTAGGAGGGCAGGTCCGACAGGTGGAACGTCTCGTAGACGACGCCCTGTCCGGAGAAGGCCGCGTCGCCATGCAGCAAGATGCTCATCACCTGCGCACACACCAAGGGGAATTTTTTTTTTCACAGGAGCTCTTTTTCAAAAGTCTGTGGGAAAAAATAGCTCGCGTGAAAAATTTTACGGGAGCTATTTTGAGCCTCACGGGAACATTTCGGAGGTTTGAAGAGCGAATCGCTTATCGCTCCCGTGTATTTTTTACCTTGGCACACACACGTGAGATATGTCAGTACATAGCGTACTGTGTGCGCCATATTTTTCATGATATTTTCGCGAATTCAGACTCGACGGACAATTTCGCGAGTGGTTAATTTCGCGGTCGGTGAATTCCCGAATCAGTAAAGAACGGTGTGTTGTTATCTTTGCGTGTTGTTATTTCCGCGGTAGGGGACGCGTTCGCAAAATTCGCGCAAATTAAACCACCACGAAATTCGCGAAAATTAAACCATCGCAAAATTCGCGCAAATTAAACCACCACGAAATATACGGAGTATACATGCAGTAGCTATTGTGCAGGACTCGTACCCAGTGTGTGAATGTTCAAGCTACGAAGAGAGCTATGTGGAGTCATATCTGCAGTGACAGTGGATGACATTGAATTAAGAGTGACACACTCAATTTCAAAGTGCTTGCATGGAATCGCTTCGATTGACATCAGAAGCCAGGCTTTAGATTGCTATACGACTGGGGTGGCTATACGACCCTGAGCCGGACTTACATATATTCCATATTCCATATTCCATTATTATTTCATTTATTATTCCAGAACTATATCTTAGAATTCTTACCTTCTTGCCATCCTTGTCTCCCCTGTAGAATTGCTCTGCGTAGGTTTTACCTTGCACAACGGGATTGACCGCTGCAAGGGACATGACATTGGCTTATACTTTACATATTCAGGCTGACATTGGTAGAAACACCACGCGCAGGAAAATAAATATGACAAAATGCGTAACATCTCACCATACCAAGGGAACTGGTATAACAATTGTGATGCATTACCTAAACAAAGAAACAGCGATGCCTACTTTAACGCAACAGATCGCGAACAAAAAAGAAAACTGCTTTAATTCACAGTCCGTTTTTATTCACGTGTGTTAAAGTGACAACGTCACCGTAAATAGTAAAAGTAATAAAATTATGCCAACTTTTTCACAAAATTTAAGTGATTCTGTTCACTTTTTATGGTTAAATTGCTGCATTATACTTCCTATTTTGCTATACCGTCCGACGTGAACAAACACTCGTGACTCATACATAGCCCATAGCAAGCATTTCATGTCGTAATCAACAATCAAATCGCAAAGGTTTATTTTTTAAATTTTTAACTAGTTGAGAAACAATCTTATCAGGTAAGAATTTGAAGATACATTTAGTGCCATTAGTACTTACTTTTAATGTAAAAAAATTGCAACCAAAATTGTACAAATATACACCATAGAAAATTCGTGACATAGTCAATTTAACACGGCATGCATCACATGTCGCCGCGACGAGCGACGACATTCGGGCGTAGTCACGGCAACATCCCATTTCGCCTACTCTCAGAATCGGCAATATTCCCATTTCGCCTACTCCCATTTCGTCTACTCTCAGAATCGGCAATATTCCCATTTCGCCTACTCCCATTTCGTCTACTCTCAGAATAAGTAATATAATAGTTCCTGTAGTATTTGTACCTATGTTTTCTGGTTCCTGTAATCTACGTATGCCAATCAAAACCATATTTTATTATTTATAAATGATTATTCAGTAAACAAACCAATCATAGACGAAATGGGAATGGGGTAGATTTTGAGCGTAGACGAATTGGGAGTAGGCGAAATGGGTGTATAGGCCAACTGGGAATTTTGCCGTAGGCGAAATGGGAGTAGGCCAACCGGGAATAAACCGTAGTCTCGTACCTTCGAGGTGCGAGGGATTCGCGACGATCGCGAGGTTGATGTTGGTGCCGGTGGTCTTGTTACGCACGACCGTCGAGCAGCCGAGATGATACTTCACGTCTCCCGAACCCTGCGAGCATGACGACACGCCTGAACACCAGGGTACTGCCTACAGCAGCGCTGTCACACAGGGTAATGTTAACAGCAGCGCTGTCACACAGGGTACTGCCTACAGCAGCACTGTCACACAGGGTAATGTTCACAGCAGCTCGTGTGTGTGTGCATGATTGTGGGTGTGTGCGTATGCATGCGTGCATGCTTGTGTGTGTGTGCGTGTGTGTGTGCACGTGCATATGTGTATTTAGTGTCATGAAACATCATGGCAAGACAGCAAAGGAATACGGTTGTGCAGCCGCAAATTCCAGGCAGAATGCAAACAGCACCCTTTGACCGCAGACCACGTCGGTGGTGTTCGCCTCTCTTTGCACTGATCTTCGTCAATACACTCGTGTATGTATGCAGGGTGCGAAATTAACGCGAGTCCAGAGTCAAATACTCCCTGATTTACTGTCGGACTCCCTGATTTGATATATGCAGAAGTCCGTGTGACTCCCTGAAAATTCTGCTATACTAACTAGTTCGTTCCAGAGCACGGCCTCGCAGAATTACCGTATTTTTTCAGGAAATGGCCAAGGATAATTTGGCAGACGTGCAACCGCATGAATCTTCAAAATAATGCGTTATTGTTAATATCTTCAGTTTTGAACTTCAGACTCCCTCATTTTGCTGCGGACTCCCTCTTTTTGAGGGCAGGGAGTCCGTTGGACTCCCTTGTTCACAAGCTAAATTTTACCCCTGTGTATGCACCTACTGCCATAAGAGAATCCCATTCTGCACCAATAACTTCACTTTAACCGTGCGCGTTTTTAGCTTATTTTTTGGGGGTTATTTATTTATTTTTAGTTATTTATTTTGCTGGGTTGTTCATGCTTACCAGCCCATGGGGAGTCTAGCCATGTCGCAATGGAAGCCTCCATTTTGGCCTTGCCTTCAAAGCCTTCCTTCAGTATGCGCTCGTACTTTTCGCTTTCAACCTATGTCAGAAAATGAGATGAGCATGTGATGACAGGTCCAACGCAATCGACGTCGAAGCATGCTACATGCAAGTGTTGATTATGTTATTAATTACAATGCACACAATTTCAATTCACTCACTGCACGCACCCGCGCACACACACGCACAGATGCACAGACACGCACACGCACCAATACACATACACACGCATGCACACACGCAAACACACACGCACGCATGCACACACGCACGCACACACGTATGCACGCACGCACGCACGCGCGCACGCACGCACACACACTGACACGCCCTCCACCCCACACGCTCGCGTATTTGATCATTACGGAATCTGATGAACAGCACATCTGCGCACAAAACCCTTGACATCGACACCGTTATCGCGTGTCTACTACGTACGGCGACGTCGGCGTCGGCGATGACTCGCTCGCGCAGCAGCTTCTGCTGGTACTGCTGCAGGATCGGTGGCACGTCCTCAATGCGCTTGTACATGAGCGGCTGCGTGAATTTCGGCTCGTCGACCTCGTTGTGGCCGTAGCGACGATACGACACCTGGCAACGATGTGGAAGGTTACGCGAGTAGTGAGAGAGAGAGAGAGCGAAGAGAAAGAGAGAAGGGGGAGAGAGATAGAGAGGAAGGGAGCGAGAGTGAGAGTGAGAGATGG